TATATAGGAACATATACTTTTTTAAATATATTTGAGTAGAGAAATGTCTGCTGAATCGAATGATGTAAAAATCATTTAATTATCTAAAAAACCAAATGAGTAATTAGCGGTAGTTTGAGAATGATTGAATTTGTCATTATTAGGAGCACTGTTCGTAATAGGAACAACAAGCGAAAAAATGTTCCTAATACGAACACTCAGCGCAGAACAAGCAACATTTTAAAAAATTTACTAAATGAACTTTTTCACTATCAAAAATTTTTAATTTTTCAATAGTTCAATGACAAAAAATGCTCCTTATTGCTCAATGAATTTTAATCCAGAAGTTCAAATTTTTTCAAATCATTTTGACTGAGATATTCAATTTAGAAAAATGCATTGCATGTTCGAATTAGGACCACTGTGCCTAATATGGATAGCCAACGAAAAAATGTTCCTAATTCGATCATATAATAGAAAATACATAGAAAAAAAGAATGCTTTAGTAAACGAAACTTTTTTATCTTTCAACTTCAAAATTTCGTTTTGCTTTCGTTACAAAAAATGTTTCTTGATCCATTCTACATTAATACCCAGCAGTTCAGCTCAAATTGATTTCGTTTTACATTGTTCCTTATACATATCAACGGAATTAATAGCAATCATCTGGTTTTGATAGCTTAGAAATAAAATCGGAAATATTAATTATGATCGATGAAGTTGAAGTGAATTATCTTCCATTTTTGATATTTTCACTTATTTCCAACTATTTCTCAGACTTGATTATACTATGATAATAGGGATTTCTCAATAAGTCATTGACATCTATTGATCCTCTGACTAAAGTATTGAAATTGATAATATCAGTGCATTGATGTTTCAGAAAATATAAATTTTGAGAAATGATTGAAATTATTTATTGTAAGTTTTAAATGAAAGAAAATGTGAATTAGGATTCATTAAAACATTATACCAATCGTAGGCGAGATTAATATTTTACTCTGAGGAAACTCGATCTCAACAAATTTCAAGAAAAAAAACTGTACACAATAATCCAATTCTGTTGTTTTCGAATTATTCATTTGGTTAGAATTACAGATCTATTTTCCAATTGTTTATTTTATTGATATGCAAGTGTGATACTGATTTGTTATCGAAATATGAAACGATCAAATTATTCCAAAGAAAATTTGCTAAAAGCTGTTGAAGAATATAAAAATGGTGCTACATCGACTGAAGTTTCATCGAAATACGGTGTTCCTGGAAGTACAGTGCGTAACCACAATTATAATTCAAAAATGAGATTCGGAGGTGGTCGTCCAACTGTACTTACAAGTCATCAAGAACAATACCTAGTCGAATTATTAAAAAATCTTGAATTTATTGGTCTACGATTGATGAAAGTGGTTGTCATGAAACTAGGATCAGAATATGTGAAACTTGTTACCGGTAGGGGATCACGAAATTTTCTATAAATAGTTTTATTTTTTTCAATAAATTAAACATATCAATTAGGAAAATCTGTTGAACTTGGACGAAAATGACTTAAATATTTTTTAAATCGATGGAAAGGTGAACTGAAAGTGATCAAAGAAAAAAAATTGAAGCATCACCTCGGAACGGATTTACTGAAGATATACGATGTGGTTGGTTCGAAAAACTCGAACTTATTCTTCGCACAAATAATTTAATAGCACGACCACATACTATTTATAATTGTGATGAAAGTGGGTTCAGTGATGAAACCGCTTGTAAGTTGAAGACCTCCATACCAAAAGAGAAATCTAAACATTCAAAGCAAAAATGAAATATTATTATTTTTTTATTTAGGCGAAATGGTTATTGTTAGTCATGAAACAAAACAAGCTTATGAACAATCTGGTGGTAGTGGGAAAAGTTTTACGACAAGTCTTACATGTGGAAATGCAGCTGGGGATATACTACCTCCATTTATTATATACACAGCAAAAAACTTGAATCGCCAATTGACTTTAGGTGGACCACCCGATTCTTCATTTGCTGTATCTGATTCTGGATGGATAACAAAACGCTTATTTGCTGATTGGTTTAAATCGTTCATTGAACATACAAAAAATGTATCTAAACCAATGCTTTTAATTATGGATAATCATTCTTGCCATATCAGTATTGAAGTTATTGAACTTGCAAAAAAAAATCAAATACTTTTATTGTTATTACCACCATGTTGCACTCACGCTTTGCAACCTCTCGATACTGCCACATTCAGGTATTCAGACATGTTTTATTTTCTCTATCTTGCTGAAGATCACATTTCTTGAATTTTCTAAAATTATATTCAACTTGGAAATTTTCTACATTTAATTTTAGTTCTGCAAAACAATCATGGAAACGTATTGTAACAAAATATTTCTTACGAAGCGGTCTTAAAACAATTCGGAAAATCGATCTATCTGTTTTATTTAAAGAACTTTATTCATCCACTTTTACACCGAAACAAGTTCTTGCTGGCTTTTCACGTGCAGGTGTATGGCCATTTGATTCAAATGCAATGAAGGAGAAAGTAGCAAGACAACCGTTGGCAACAAAACAACTGAATCAATGTCCACAAACCACAAGGTGATATAGGATTCTCAATTGAAAAACTTTTTTCAGTTCAACTAATCTTTTAATGTTCCCTTAAAAAGTGTTTTTTTCTATTATTAGTGACACTCCTATTACACCACCATCATTTAATATGCACGATCAAAATAAATCAACAACGCCATTAGGTTTTAATAATAATAATGAAAAGGAATTAAATTATGTTTTAAATGAAAATATTTCGATTTCAACTCGTGCAGCAACACCAAAAACTAATCCATTGATTACAACAAATCCTAATGTATTTCATTCACTTGATCAGACAATGTAAGACTTTTTGTGCGAATATGATTGAATTCTCAATCTTAGACACTATATGCTTTCTATTTTGTAGTAACATCAATCGATTACGAAGCACAAACGAAAATTCCAATACATGTTCGTCGTTTGAAAATCCATATGATTCATTCAGGTTTAATATTTTTGAACTTGACTAAACTAGTATTATTAATGATCATTATTTTTTTTTCTAATAGATTTCCATTATTCATTTCGAATACAAGTTTGGATTCCATTTCTTTCAATACTTTGGATTTACCAACGGATGAATTCAATAATACGATAACACCTACTGACACAAAGTAACTAATAATTTTAAAATAGTTGTTCATAATTGTAAGTATTCAATAAAAAAAATCTTTTTTTCAGCTCCTCGTTCATGCAAATACCTCAATCAATCGACAGTTTCAATGGAATATCTTTAACAGATGTTGATTCGATTGAAGATGATGATGGCCAACAAATGTAAGAAAAAGATATAGATCTTCGAAAAATTTTTAAATGCTTTTCTAACTATAGCCTTGGATTTGATCCAAGTACTTTGCCAAAGATATATAGTCGAAATTCTGGCTATTCGAATAGATACAAAATGGAACAAACGTCGATATTTAATTTAGAAAGAGATAGTAAGAGAGATAAATTTAAAGAAATAAATTTTATAAATTGATTTTCACCTAATTTAATAGATGAAGAAAAACGAATATATACCGAATTAACAAACGTTGACACATCAAGTTTCGTTCGTCCATTATATATGGTGCCATCTGCTCAGCTTGATCTTAACCAACAAATAGCTGATCCATTAACATCGATTCAATTAAGTCCATCAAGTGCTGTACGTTCAATAGTTACTGATTTACTACAACACCATGTATCTCCTCCAACGTTACCATCGAAAACAAATAAACTTACTCGAAAAGAAGGACAATATGGAGAAGAAATCACTTCGAGCAATAGATTGAACGAATTAAAAGAAAAAAATATCCTTACCACGTACAAAAAAAACAGAAAAGTAAGTTAACAATCACAGCAAATATATCATCTACTTTTTTGTTTGGTACTAATGTAGCAACAACAACAAAAAGACGTAGATTATCAAAGCAAACAAGTGACACTATTACTTTATCTCAAACAACACGTGCCTTATCTACTCTTCAAGCGTTATCTTCAAGCAATACAATTCGTGATCAAAATGCTATTGGCTAAACAGTTCAATAGAATAATAGTATTATGTATATAACAGGTGAACAGATATATATTCTTGTTAATAAAATGTTACTCAACAGTTATTATTTATGTTTCTTTTAACTATCCTATGGCCAGATTTCTCTGTTCTCTATTATTTTTGTATCACGCAGTGTATTTTATTTACTTTCATGCTGTATTTTTGAAACTATTCGTACATATTTTTTTCTAATAGTGACTTGTTTATTCATGTTATTCGATTAGATTTTCTTCATACATGAGTATTAAATCTATTTTTTTATTTCTGTTTTGCCAAACTATTCTTCATGAAAGTATCCGATTCTTTGAACCACTTTTATATCATATGAATTATATGTAGTCATTGTTTTTCTAAATAGTAACTATTTTCTTATTGAATATCTAAATATCTTAACTATTAGTATGATGAATCATGAAACTGTATATGTTGTATTCGTTTATATTACTTGAAATATATAGAAATTAAGATATAGAAATATCTCAAACCTGAAAAATAACAACTTCTACTATTTCATAATAACTTAACTTTATTCAATTTAGTGTTTTATTTCTTATGAATAATGATCGTTCTTTGCCAATACTGCGAGAAATATAGAATTGCTAGCGATACATAATCTACCTTTTTATAGTTATTTCATATCAGTAGGCACATAAGCAAAAAAAAGAACAATTAAAATAAAAAAACAAATTTTCATATTGCAATCAAGAGAAACGTACGGCTGCACTGTTATAGTTAAATTAATATTCGATGTATCATTAACGATACTATTTAACGTATATGTATAAGGAACAATGTAAAACGAAATCAATTTGAGCTGAACTGCTGGGTATTAATGTAGAATGGATCAAGAAACATTTTTTGTAACGAAAGCAAAACGAAATTTTGAAGTTGAAAGATANTATCTTAATTTCTATATATTCCAAGTAATATAAACAAATACAACATATACAGTTTCATGATTCATCATATTAATAGTTAAGATATTTAGATATTGAATAAGAAAAATAGTTACTATTTAGAAAAACAATGACTACATATAATACATATGATATACAAGTGGTTCAAAGAATCGGATACTTTCATAAAGAAGTTTGACAAAACAGAAATAAAAAAAAAGATTTAATACTCATGTATGAAGAAAATCTAATCGAATAACATGAATAAACAAGTCACTATCGGAAAAAAAATATGTACGAATAGTTTCAAAAATACAGCATGAAAGTAAATAAATAATACACTTCAACTCCATAGATCATAATTAATATTTCCGATTTCATTTCTAAGCTATCAAAACCAGATGATTGCTATTAATTCCGTTGGTATGTATAAGAATCAATGTAAAACGAAATCAATTTGAGCTGAACTGCTGGATATTAATGTAGAATGGATCAGGAAACATTTTTTGTAACGAAAGCAAAACGAAATTTTGAAGTTGAAAGATAAAAGAGTTTCGTTTACTAAAACATTATTTTTTTCTATGTATTTTCTATTATATGTTCGAAGTAGGAACATTTTTTCGCTGACTGTCCATATTAGGCACAGTGGTCCTAATTCGAACATGCAATGGATTTTTCTAAATTGAATATCTCTGTCAAAATGATTTGAAAAAATCTGAACTTCTGGATTAAAACTCATTGAGCAATAAGGAACATTTTTTGTCATCGAACTATTGAAAAATTTAAAATTTTTGATAGTGGAAAAGTTCATTTAATAATTTTTTTTAAATTTTGCTTGTTCTGCGCTGAGTGTTCGTATTAGGAACATTTTTTCGCTTGTTGTTCCTATTACGAACAGTGTTCCTAATAAGGACAAATTGAATCATTCTCAAACTACCGCTAGTTACTCATTTGTTTTTTTAGATAATTAAATGATTTTTACATCATTCGATTCAGCAGACATTTCTCTACTCAAATATATTTAAAAAAGTATATGTTCCTATATACAATTTTTCGGAAAAAACGAATTTCTAAAGGCGCTTGAGAAGCTGTCCTTATTATGGCCAAGCGCTGTATCTTAGTGAGAACGCGTCTGAACAGTAAAAACAAAACGGTCAACATCGTAGGTTCCTCATCACTTTATCGGCCTCACCGATTTTAATGACGATGCTTGAAAGTACATATGAACCCACACACACTCGTACCCTCAAAAAGTTTTGATACAGATCAGTTTCGATAGAAGCAACTTTTGTAATAGTTATCGAGATTGGAGCTGATATAGAACTGCGGTAGGTCTATACAACACACTATTTTCCGGTTGACTCTAAAATGTATTTATTTTGATGCCAGAAACCTTATATAAAGGGTCCATGGCGGGCTTAGTGGTTTGAATAAGCATGAAGAGAAAATTGGAGGGAGCCTATTAACGTACAATTATCCTCTTGTAACATTAAACAGCGATCAATTCATCTATCAGTAAATAATAATTGGTTTTCTCGCCTTCTGAAACTGATGTAACAATTTATATCAATAGATCTTCCCATTGAGTATCCTTTCACATCTATTTTGCACAGACCATGAATACTGAACATTCTATCTTTTATTGTACAATCAGTCGATCAGTCTAAATGCTGGTTCAGGAACATTTGCTCAAGAATGATGTATTTCTGATACAATCAGTATGATACTCAGTCATTACCGCTACAAATTGATTCCCGCATTTCTTCAAATCTTCAATTTGTTTGATTGGATCACATTCATCAGTTTTTGTTGTTGAAGTCATCATACCGTGCTGAGTAAAATTCAGGACAGGATCGCTCGAAGCCTTCTGCAAAGGAAAAGCATATTTTGTATTCGAAACTAGCGACTGATTTAAATGTAAACCTTCATTTCGAATACAACAAAAATTGCTTCCGAAAATCACAACCCAGGAAAGGCTTACAGATGTTTAACAGGTTTCGAACAATATTTCAAAATACCGGACCGGGCGAGTTTCCATTGCGCTCTCTATTTCACTCCTGTCACAAGAAAAGCGGGTGTGGGTGTGTGGATATGTATGTGAATTACAAGACGAACAACAACACACTAACCTACACCCACACCCACACCCACACCCACACCCACCCACAACTTACCCCAGAATTGACAGCCGAGTTGAAATAAAAAGTCTACCATGTGAAATTTGGACTTCTGATCGGCGGATTTTCTCAGTCACGAAAGCTCAGATAGAAAAACTGATAACGGATTTGGACTCTGGGACCCCGATAAGCTATAGAAAGTTTGACATGGATAATAAACCGGTGAAAGGTTTATTGCAAAAACTATGAAACCTTGAGATAGTCTACGAAACGAACGCTGGTTTGGCCGGTATTTTACAAAACCTTAAAGCACACTAGAAAGTGTGAAAACGTTCCGTACAAATAATACGAAAGCTTTGGATCGTGAACAAAACTATCAGCCGGTTTGTGGAAAAGATTCTAAACCTCGAGAGTCTACAAAACGTTCAGTGGTTTGGCACAAAATATACGAAACTTTGACACGAATAATAAAGTTGGAACCGTTCAGCTCAAAAAATACGAAACCAGCAATAGTTTTGCAGAAAATATTCCAAACCTTTTGACAGTTTAGGGAACCATCAATGGTTTCGTCGACATATTACGAAACTTTAAAGCCGCCCAGAAAGTGTCGATAAGTTCCGCACAAATAATACGAAACCTTCGGATCATTCGCGAAACCAACAGTGGTTCTGTGGATATATGACGAAACTTTCGAAGAGTACAGGCGCAAAATTGCGAAACCTGATGAAATCTGCTGAACTTAAAATAGTTCTGAAAGGAGACCACGGAACGTTTTCCACTCCACGGAACTTAAAATCGTTCGGTGGAGAAATGCAGAACTATTAAGGTTCGGTAGAGTACCGATTTTTTTTAGAGTGCATGAAACAACAGAAACATTTACACCGACACCGGCACCCACACCCACATCCTCAAGATAGAAAACATAAATTATTTCAAAATCAAATGCATAGCGTAATAGAGCGTGAAATTCTCTACCATTGGACACACTACAAACTGAATTGTGATAAATTAAAAAGCTAGAACGAGAATTTTATGAAGCTATCAAAAACGGCAATAAATAACTAATCTTTTTTATTAATGATTAATTTTTTGAATCTTTGACAGATGCTGCTGTTTCTGGAGCCGGTCATCCTCTCTATCTTGACCTAATCATATCAGCAATTTATTTATATTGCTACTGTCACGACTCTTCTCGATTCGGATTTCATTGAAATCGACGGCAGAAGAAGGGTTCAATTCTTAACCTGTTGATTTTTAAAGTCCTATTACTGGCTGCATTTCCATGCGATGGATTGTACAAAGACGATCCCCGTATGGAAATTATTCAAGATGTTGAATCAAATAAAATTGTGCAACACGATTGCATGATGATGATTTTCTTTATCTCTTCTTAACTATGTGGAAAGAATCATTGTGGCCTATATGTGAGCAATGACCAGTGCCTCTCCATCTTATACCAAATCGACATCTATAGAAGCAACCTAAAACATTCATAAATAGTAAAAATAAATGACACGAAAACTTGAATTTTATTATGACGTTTCAAGACAAATGAAGACGCTGGCACCTTATTTTTTGCGAGAAAGGCTTTTCTAATATCAATAAGCGGTGCTGATCGATCAAGAATTAAACTGCATTCAGAAATTTCGTATGATCTTTAGTTTAATCTGTGAATAACACGAATTTGTACTTAATAAGGCACCATACTATTCTTCAAATTAATTAATTATACAGCGTCCGACAATCAATTGTTAAAGCCAGAAGAAATATTACACAAAAGGTTCGGCGGGGGATAAGTTATTTTAGCTACTTTTAAAACATGTAAGAACTTCAAGAACCTATTTTATCATGTAGAGCACATTCACTCGATATACATATCACGCGTTCGTCAATAGGTATATTCATTCCGTATATTTAAATAAACAGATGTCAACAGAATCTAGTGAGTACAACGGAATTCATCATTAAAAAGAGAATAAGATTCTAATTCAGATCTTGTCCTACAAAGTAAATGATACAAATTTTGAATTACAAAACACGCATGTTCAATTGTACTAGCTGAAATTTTTGAAATATTCAAAATTTGAGCACAAATAGTCTATATTAATCTTAAAGGAATGATTTCTTCGACATCGATCAAAAATAAAACATATATTACAGGACGTCCTCTTCAACTGACAAATCAAAACAACATACGTAGTGAACACAATATTCTAATGATTCCAGTCTCGATTTTCTCTCTGATTTGTGTTGGGTCTGCAATAGGTCGTGTTCGATAGAGAATTATTCCCGCTAGCGAGTTGGAATAAATTAGGGAGAGGGGGAGGTTATCGGGTAGAAAATGGGGTTTATTCAAGAAATACTCACTTTTCCCCATTGAACACATAATGCATTAAAACTATTATCAGCATGAATTCGCTTTAAGACCTGTTTTGAATCTAAAGCTATCATTAGCCGATGTAGAATTTCATTTTCTACCGCACAGTATCATTTTAGATGGGGTCATCAGACAAAAAAACGATGAGTTGGGTGGATACCTGGATGTGAATATATATCTGAGTGTGAGCGTAAGTGAAAACCTTTCATCTTGAGAATGAAAAAGCAATGTCCCCAAATTTTGAAATAAGCCCGAAAGTATGGCAAATAATCAATTGTGGCTGCACCTCTCACCACACTCACACACATATATATACACACCACGGTGACCACCCAGCTCATAATGTTTTGCGTGTGGATCCCATCTAAAATGATTCCATACGGTTGAAAATGAAAGTCTACATCAAATAAAAAAAGGTTTCAGATCTAGCACAGGTCTCAAATAGTGTACTGCAGCCGGGTCGGGTAACCGGCACCCGACCCGACCCGGTACCTGGGTCCGGGTGAAAAGCTCCGGGTCGGGCCGGGTGCCGGGTCTGGAAAAAAAAGTCGGGTCGGGCTGAGGAATTTTCAAAAAACCGACACCCGCCCGGCCAACTAGTGATNCCATCTCACGTTTTAACGCTATTTCTATGATTTTCTGTTCTTGAGATCATCGCGACGCAAAATGGCGAAAAAGATGCGTACGTCGAGAAAGTAAAAGAAAAAAAAAAAACTCGCGACGGACTACATAAATGCTGTGCTTCGCACCGCATTAACAATAGTTATTTAAAGAAAAATGTTTCTTAGCACTGCGCGGTATGGTTTTATAGCACATTTTAAACATTCTTCTCGTGCTTATATCTCATTCTGCTATAGCTATATATCACTAATGTTTTTTCATATTTTGTGAAGAAATCGATATATTTTATTTCTGAGTATGATTATGCGATTGAACATATTCAACAATTGATATATTGCATCATGCTGATTGAGTTTGTCTAAAATATTTGGATATGCTTTTTGCATTCCTGTGTCGAAAAATTAACCTTACGTTAGTCGATATTTTTAATTTATCACAAGTCAGTTTCTAGCGTTTACAATGATAGAGAATCTCACGCTCTATTGCGCTATGCATTTGGTTTTGAAATAATTAGTGTTTTCTATTCAAATACGGATGAAATTGAAAAAAAAAGAATACGAAATTTCTATATAGAACAATTTGAAGAGAAAAATATTTTTATTGCGCGAGATTTGTTTTTAACAGACGGATGTAGCGCAATATGCTCGTATATGAATTTGTGGAGAATTTTAAGTACTATCAATCTATGAGGTTAGTTTCCTGAAAACGCTAGCTGTTAGTGCTGAAATAATAAAAATATCGGATACGTCAATTTTTCACAGTTGGAAATTTTTGATGAAAATGTTAAGACTTTTTCTAAGCCAAAATTTAATCTGCCAAACTTTTGAGAACATCATCCGATGCATTTTGGCGTGCTCTTTCAAATGAGGCTATTTTCAGTGCATACGATCTCACTGATCCGACTAAATTGCCCAAAATACGTGGGCATGCTTTCGGAAAATCAAATATGGTGCCAATCAAAAATTATTCCTGGATGTGGTATTTTTATGACTATCAAAAGATAGCCTGTAATTGATAGTATCTTTGGTGAAAAAATCTCAGCGACAACTACTATAACTTGAGAGAAAATGAAAATATACTGAAAAGTACTGCAATAAAAAAAACGTCTAATTTTGATCGAGTACTCATACTTTCAAGTCATATATCTCGAGAACGGCTCATTCGTTTGAGCTGAAATTTTAGTCTTATTCCTAGCATGAATGTAGGTATCTACTGTAAAAATATCAGTCAAATCCGTGAAATAGATTGAGCAAGGTTTAGTAGAAAACGATCGTGGCTTAGGTGCAATGCCTCTTAAGGGTCTCGTCAGGTATCTTTCAAATCATATTTCCCAACTAGCAGCATCATATAGTGTAACGGAAAAATATTTAGGTCGCGTAAATATTCTTCAAATAACTATCGAGATATATAGAATCGCGTATATATCTTGATAGGATGATGGACAACAAAGTGTAGATCAGTATCAGCTATAACTATTAGCCACTGTGTGTATAATATTAACAACAATTCCACGCAATAAGGTTATTCTTGTCCAAAATGAGTTCTGTGTGCTGTCTTTCAATACAACCGAATACAAGCGTACGTATTACAAAGCACAACTTTCTTCTAACTAGAATGGTTTAGAAGTGAACTCGACTCAATTGCCCAACTGTAACGAAAAAGAGAAGAAGTTTAACTCTACCGTTATACGCGGCATTGATGTTAGTTGAGCTACTTCATTCTAAATCGTTATGACAAATGGAGAGGCATAGTTTAGTGTTTTACTACACGATGTTTATTCAACTATGCTCTACATCCAAATGCATCCATCTAATACAAAGCACGCGCTTATATACGCCACCAAGAAAGAAGTGAACGGAGAGAGAAGAAAATACATAGAAACAAAATTTATTGAGAGAGAAGCGGATACGGAGAAAGAAAAAGATATCTAGAGAGAAAAGATACACAGAAAGATTACGCACTGTTCAGTGGACGATTATGTTTTACGTCACTGCAGTATGTTCATCATCTCTATGACTTATATGTGGACGTCCGGCGGTTCATATAACCCCTATCTAATATAGTCCTTTACGCGGACGTACTTCTTGGCACATATAGTGTTTTATTAGCTGAATTCATAGAAAGACATAACTGACATATCAATGAAACAGTTTAAGAACAACGGTAATGTTTAATTCATTTTCCTAGAATTTGACTTTGGTCGTGCAATTATCTTTGCTTGAACGTCGAGAGGCTTCTTTGCTTGTAGATCGACAATGTTTATTTCGTAGTCACCTGCACATCGTTGAACTAATTAAAATAAATTGCATATTAAATGAATATGAACAACAAAGTATAAAAGTAGGATGACATACCTACAGTTCGAACAGCAGTCTGTGAAGTACAAACGGATGCAGCTATCTGATTCAGATCTAATGTTTCGTTGTCAGCTGGTCGATATGGTGTTGAAAGATGGATTATTTCTGAAACATTACTATTCTTCTCGAGTTCAACTGAAGAGTCTATAACACATTCATCTAGACGAAAATAATGTTAGAATGTCTGAAAGCAAAAGTCTAATAAACGCAAAGTTCTTTACAGTAAACCATAGGTTGAGAACATAGTTGACTCATCAAATTCACAAGCGTTTCTTTCAGGGATATGGGTGTGTTTAAAATATTTGATTGATTCTTACCAAATATGTCAGCCGAGCATTGCTCCTTTAAATAAATGTTTGTTATTTCTTCTTTTTCTTCAATTTTTGTGATAAGAAAAGGTGAGTACGGCAAAATTAAAACTTCATCCTCTTCTGGATGTGTCGATAGTTTAGATATATCAATAGCAGTACGACTGTCATTGATTATCATGTAGGTGCAGAAAAATGAATGCATAGCTGAATTTAGCACGCATTTATCACCAAAACCTTGAGCAACGAGGCGGTCTTTTGATGTTGAGAGAAATGTAGTAGTAATAATAGAAGAGCCAACTTTGCAGTGACTAAACTTATGCTTTGGCATAACAATACCACGATAAACTTCACCTTTAAAATCGAGTTTTTGAAAGTTTGGATGATGAAGAAAAATACTTGAAATTGATTTGGTGCCATCCTGCGTTGAATAGAGACATTGGCACGAAAATTGACTACAACCGTTGTTCAAAGCATGCATCACATTGCGTGCCATATCAATATTTAAAGAATTTGAAAATTTTTGGCAACTGGTATATGCAATGACAAGATAGTTGGGATTCTGTTCGAGCAATGCCTGTTTAAAACAATTCTGAATAACTGCACCATCTACTGGGGAAATATCTTGTGAATGTGCAGTGAAATAACCTTTATTTAATGAATAAAGCTTTTTTTTCCAAAATTTTGCGCCCATTGATGAGTATGCTTTCAATTCACGACGAAATATCACTGCTTTCTGTGTTGCATTTCTATCCACTAACTCCCATTCATACATAGTGTTATTGTTGACCAGTAAGCAACTTTTACAACTCAATTTATCCTGAGATAAGGGAGTGATGTTATAACAACTGTGTAAAAATGCGAACCGGGATGATTCTGGACGTTTAAATAAATCTTTGATTTTCTCCGTTTCCGCTAGTTCATAAGCGCATTGACCTTCTATATTTCTCAGTGATGGTTGTACACCATACTGCAAAAGAATTTCAATCATTTCCTTGTGTTGCTTTCGTGTTGCAACGTGTAAAGCAGTTTCATTATTCGGTGGATGTTGGTAGTTGATTTCTTCAAGCTTCATTTTTTTCAGACATGACTCCACACCTGCTAGATCGTTATTTTGACAAGCTAAATAAAGTGGAGAGGGTGTCACAAAAGTGCAGTAATGGCGATCATATGAACGGCGATGAAATAGTTTACGCAGCCAAAGTCGTGTTGATGAGCAGACTTCATCGTTGGAAAATACCAATTGACGTGGCGTTCTATGTGTCATTTTGTATGGAACGTGTGTACCAATGATGACTGAATTTTAGTCTCGTTTCTGTTATATTAATTAGTTGTTAACACTAGTAAAGAAATGAGAAGAAACGGAAAAGGTCAAAGAATAAGATAGTTCTGAGAATAAATCATTCTAATTTAGGGTATTCATCACGAAGGCCAATGTCATATCTCCTTCAATATTTCTTATTTTATCATTTTGGAAAATATGTACACATCTTGTCTAGATTCACCTCAAATCGACATACGAAAAGTTTTTAAATCATGAAAATACTTTCTGATTTGTTTTAGAATCAATTCAAATGCAAATAGAACAGTAGTGGTCCTATTATAAAATTCCAGAATTCTAGAATTTTAGAATAGGGTCACGTCTCATTTCAGAATAAAAAAAGCCAAGAGAAAAAGAAAAACATCCTTCGAAAGTAACCGTATATCAAATTTCAAAATGATATACCAAAAGGTTTGATCCTTCTTCTATTAGTGTGAGAACTAACACTAAGCCCTGATTTTTTTCAGAAGTTTATTTTTCATTTTATCACCATTGCATTTGTACAGCTTCTGCTTTCTCTCGGGTATAAAAAGAACATAGTACAAAATCCCGTACTCCTTGGTAAAAAAAACCTGCACATAATTTTATTAGCCTGAAAATCATCACTGAATTTTGGTTCTTTTCGACAATTTTATTGTGTATTTCATGAAAAATCAATTTTTAACACCTGTAGTCCCCCTCAAGGGTCCAAAAATCTTTTTTGTTCTGGTTTTAATATAGATAGTTATATTTCCATAAAGCTATGCTTTCTGATTACAATTATTGTCTCAGTTTTGAATTTCATTGAATAATAAGAAAGATACGAAGCACTCTCTAGGAGCCTTAAAAAACAGTTACTGACCTAAAGATCCATGAATATTCGATTTATACTGTTTGAAAATAGGTCCGTTCGATGCACAATGCTTTTTTCATATCAGAATATTTAAGAACGGCTTAGATATTCAATCTTTTTTCTCTCGGTAAATTCCAAATACCACCCCGAATCGGGTCATACAGTTACAAATACTGCTTTTTTCAGTCTTATTAAGTGTATTTTTTCGAGGTGTACCAGTTAGATTTTCTTACTGAATACGTAATTAAATGTGCTCTTTTTAATGAAAGAGTTTCCAACTTAAAACTCGATGTAATGTAAAGCGTTTTCGCTCCAATACTAGTGTTGGAATCGAATTTCTGTCATTGCTTTGCTGATGCTTGATAGTTTCAAACAGAATAATTCCTATGCGACTGAATATAAATATTATATTTGTTTTAAGCACAAAAACTGAGTGGATCTAATTATTTTTACAACTTTTGTTTTCGGTCAGATTTTTACGTCTGATCACCTTTAGGATTATATGAAAACAAAATATTTTATTCAAATCAGCTATTTGATTGATTATTAATTGATCTATTTTATCTCAAACATCATTTCCAAACTCTGGAAACTTTTAACATTGTCCACATGGCTTTTGGAGTAAACTAATTGTTTCACTATCCATGAGGGGGACCAGATGTGAAAATCTGACCGAAAACAAAAGCAGTAGAATTAAATCGAATTAGATTTTCTGCTTAAAAAAATTATAATATTTAAATTCAGTCAAGTGGAAATTAATCTGTTTGAAACTATCGAATATCGGTCACAAATGATAGAAATCCGGTTTCAAAAGTAGTATTGGAGCGAAAATGCTTCAGTTTACAACGAGTTTTTATTTGAAAACAGTTTTATTAGAAATAGCACATTCAATTACGTATTCGGTAAGAAAATCTTTCTGATAAATCTCGGAAAGCTACATTTTATAAAATTGAGAATAGCATTATTTCTAACTGCATGACGCAATCCGGGGTGGTATTTAGCATTTATCGATAAAACAAAATTTGAATATCTAAGTCGTTCTTATATACTCTGATAGACAAAAACATTCTGTATCGAAGGGGTCTATTTTCAAACAGTATAAATCGAATATTCATGGACCCTTGGGCCGATAGCTGTTTTAAAGTCTTCCCGAGAGTGCTTCAGATCTTTCTTAGTATCCAATGAATTTTAAAATCTAAGATGATATTTGTGATCAGGAAACTTAACTTCCATAAAATGCACAATAAACTCATGGAAAATAATCAGAATTGAATGATGATTCTCACGCTAATAAAATTAAGTGCAGGGATTTTAGTAGTCAAGTTTCTAATTTGGTACATCTCTGATTTGATTGTGGAATTAGTGTATTCAACAAGATTGTGGGAAAACAATGAGTTTAACCGAGAATTAAGTCATCCTGTCGTATACTACTCCTTTATTTTTCTGTAGCGTCTCGACAACTACTAGTACCTTCGATACTTTGCAATAAATTTTGGCGCTTGGAGCCAGCACTTCTCCCTTGAATGTAACAGTTCTTCAAATAATTCTTTTCATATATTTTTTCGTGATTCTCTTGTGAACAGTTAATATTTGCCTAGAAAATCTATACCACTTCATGTTTGCATCCCGTATGGATAGCATCATCAGGTGGGAAAAGTCAGAGAAAATAACGAAATAGATATTTTTACTCACCTGATCACCTTTACAAATAAAAAAAAATGAAATAATTACTCATGGCACTGAGTTTTTATCACTGATAAAAACGCAAAGCGGAAAAAATGACATTTAGCGAGGCGTATTTAAATGTTACAAAGATTAACTCGCATTACTTTATATCATATTTCTCTCGCTATTGTGAAGAAAGAACAAATGAAAAGTAGGAAGTAACATCACTATAAATAACAGCTTTTCGAAAACGACCATCGGTTTCCAGTACGAAAATGTCTCTGTATCAATGTACAAAAAATATTTCTCGCTGTATGAGCGTCCGCAATTTCACGCGGTGTTCTACGGAAAACAACATTTGTGTCGAAGATCATGGCTATTGTGTTTTTACAGAAACAAGCAAACCGAGATGCCTATGTTTACCTTGCTTTACTGGTACACATTGTGAGGCAGAATTATCGAAAAATCTATGGTCTTATTTTGTACCGGTCGATGCAGTAACTTCAAATGCAAGCTCAATTCATGCTATTATGACTGTTCTATTTGGTGCATTTCTGATAATCAATGGAATACTATGTCTACAGACGTATTTGTGCAGAAGAATACGTAAAACAAACTTGGGAATTTACTTAATAATGCTGTCAATTGTGTCGATATTTATTGGCCTACTACATCTCATATTTAATTTAATATATTTACACAGCACAGAATTATCACAGTCCTATCTATTTGGTGATCTCAATTGTCTTATTTATTCAAAATATGTCTATATCCCTCTGGTTGCTATGTACAATTGGTTTATCGCCAGTGTAGCTATAGAAAGGGTGTTAGTGGAATGTTGTAGAAATTATGGTCTACATGATTCCAGACTCCGTTCAGTTATATTTTCTGCTGCTATTATAATCATCTGTCCTTTAACTACACTTCCTGGCATCTTCACAGTTCGTGAAAATCAACCGCCGGAGTTGCGATTTATTCAATGCATAAACTTCACTCCCCTTGGATATATCTTGTATATAACTATCACACGCATTCATTTACTTGCATTCTATTTCATCTACATTGTAATGAATACTGTTGTCTTAGAACATCTTCTTAGGCATCGTCGGCGTTTTGTAGATAGTGATTCATTACCTGTACAAGTTTATCTCATTCTACGCAAACACAAAGACTTCTTTATACCTTACCTGATACAAGCTGTCGGTCAGTTTCCTGCTCTGCTAATGGATTTTATAATGACCTGTTCAACAGCCAATACAATACTCGTGGCTCGTTTAACTCTGGTAGTTGCTGCCTTACAAATTGTTCCATTTGCAATAACATTTTATCTATATATTTATTTATCGCCGGTATACTGGTCAGAGTTCTGGAATTCGTCTCCCATCGGAAAATGTCTTCTGAAAGTGAAGGAGAAACCACAGATTGTCTACAGCACTATCATTATTAACAACAATAATCCGTCAGAGACTCATTTGTAATATGGACATCGTTTAACTATCTCTTCTATATAACCACCTTTCTAGCTCCAGCACGAACTTAAAGGACGGGAGCGCATAAGTAGCTAAATTCGCCCATTTGTTTTTCATCATAGACAGTATCGAAAAAATACACAGAACGTCGCAGAAAAACGACCTGATCATTTTGATACTAAATTCATATAGCTTTAGTGAAACTGCATCTACATCCGTCCTAGCACGATAAACACAAGTAGTCGACCTGCATATGTCAGAAGAGATCAATGATAATTATTGAAACAAAAACCTTTTACTGAAACGTCACAAAATATCTCATTAGATACAGCTTGAAAACTTATACAGAATGGTAAGGTGCACCCAGAGCAAAAGCCGAGCAAAATTTTTTCACACCTTATATTTTTACATGGTTAGATAGAGCTTGACGAGCTGATCATGAATATCGCCTTGAAAAAATATTTTGAGTAATTTTTACTCAAAAAAATAAAATTCAGAATACTAAAACATTTAAAAAAATGACTATTTTAGTTCTTTTAAGGAAAAATCAAGTTTTTGCTTGTTTTAAGTAACGATAAACTTTTGAAACTCTTTCATTTGTATTTAAAATTAAGAATTCAGTAAAAATGTGTAGATTTATAACTATTTCATCATTAATATCTAGTCCAACAGGACCCACTCGATGTATGAGCCGCCACTATATCACCGTATTCTTGCAAACCTATCAACTTTTTTTTGTGAACATTTCTACAACCTTTATACATCATTCGAACTGTCAAGTGAAGGTGAACAAAACTTCGCATGGATTTTGAAAAAGTTTTCTTCCTTACAGAGCAACGCTCATTTTTCTGACAAGAACAGATAAGTCAAATTTCATATTTTTCGCTTCGGCCAAATTTTGTTCGATTTCGATTCTGACTTTGATTGCTAGGTAGGAAAAAGTGTAAAATTCAATAGAAAGAATAAGAGTTGGCTACTGATTCTACAAAAAGCCAAAAGAATTTTTTTGGGTGGGTGTGGGTGTGAAAAAAAGATTGAAACCCACACGCCCTTCTTTTTGATAGACATTCTGTAACTTTTGTGAAATTTTTGTTGAATTATTTTATTAATATTAAAACACAAGAAAACAGAATTTTGATTTTGTTATCGACATTTAAACGGTACGGAATGAACGTGTAAAATACAAAAAGAAAAAAAAATGTTAATAAACGAGATTCAAGAAGAGAAAAATCAAAGTTGAGATAATAAAAATTAAACGAAAGACATAGTTATAAAGTTTGATTAGAAAAATAAACAATATACGAGATTTTTAAGCAATCATAGGAGTATTACTATTCGATGTAAACAATATTTCGTCCTCATCGCCATCTTCTGAGTCACTTGGCATAGCATGAGTATTTTTAACGGTTTTATGTCTCTTTGCTCTTTGACTTAATAAGGCATTATCTTCATCTTGTGCCAAAAGTTGGTAGCGCTGTGGACGAAATCGTAAATATAAAGTAATCATACCAAGTATCACAGTACTAAGAGCCACTAAAAACGAAGAAAAACAAAAATATATTGAGCATTCTTTAATCTATCTGAAAAGATCAATCTACGAACCAATACTAATAATCATCATAGAAATAAAGCGGAACGTCGAATGTTGAGTAATTGCTCTTAATTTGTTATAAAATCCTGTTGAGGAAATTTTATCATCCTCATTGATAATCACACGTTTTAGTTTAAATTCAATATATGTTGACGATTGATCAGTGACAAAAATATTTGCTCGTGTCTCTGATTCATATCTATTGTATAATTTCACGTAAAATAAAAAATACTTCTCCTACGATTCATTTTTACATACCCTAAACGTTCAACTGTAATATCATATTTACCCGGTGATAATAAACGGAAGAAATCACCATCACGATAGGTTGTTACATTATGATTAATACCATGAACATGAATCACTGCGCCTGATACAGGTGCTTTTGTTTGCAAATCAAATACAAAACCACGAAGACCATGAACAACCTTTATAGCCGAAAACAAATCAAACACACATATGTAAACGGATCCATAGTTACCTGAGTAATAAAAGCTAGTAAAGCTCCTTTATTATCATTCCAATGATTCTGCAAATCGTTTTCATTTGGATATTTCTCACAACCGATGTCAATGGTTATTTCCATATCAGATGTGAATACATATGACCAGTCTTGCATACCACCTTCAATTACCTTCCAAGCAGCGCTATTCGTTATTCCATCGTGAAATATGATGCATGAATCACCTTTAAACATTTTTGTATGAGCTTGTGAATAAGCTTTCGCCAACATTTTCAATGTTGAATCATCAGGTGATTTGCTTTCTCCACTTGCCACACCTTTGGCTCGATTATTAAATGGATAACTAGCAAGAAGTGCGCCACCATGTAAATTTCCCGATAAAACAAACGGATAGGTAAGTGACCAATGTATCGCAGCTTGAACTTCCGGTTGAAATTGATTTTGTTTTTTAATAAATTTATCAAGATTATTTTCATTATTATTGTATTCTTTCTTTGGTGCGACTTCGTCTTTACCCGATGATGGCTCAAGTTCAATCTGAGGAAAATTTTCATTTAAATCAATGTGATTTGCATTGACACGGCCGCCTCCAGTGGCATGATTGGCTTGTTTATATTCATATTCAAAGCCATCGGGATTCATTGTTGGCATTATATGAATACGAATCTTTAATAAATATGTATTTTAGTTTAAAAACAAAAAGAATAGGAAACTATCTCAACTTACATTATCGATAAGTTTTGTAACGTAATCATTTTTTCTATAGTTCACGCATAAATATTCAATAAAACGTATTAAACATTCGCGCCCAACACTTTCATCGCCATGAATATTTCCAACATATCGAACTTCAGGTTCACCTGCTTCATGTACCAATGGTTGATCACTGATAATTATCACCCATAGATCGCGTTTCTCAACACTTTTACCAATTGAATATATACTTGTTATATTTGGATATTGTTGATTTAATTCTTTTAATTTATTCACCATTGATTCATAATTATGATATTGAAATTTATCTGTTGGTTCAATTAAAATTTTCAGTATTTCATCACGAGAATCACTGCTCATTAATTTTCGTGAATAATCTGATAATGTATCGTAGATTTTATTCGTCGACGTAGTATCTTGGTTAGATATCGATACATCTACACTGCCTGGTTGTAAATCAAAATCGAGACGGAGGGCCTAAAATAAAACAAAACTTGTTATGGTCTTCGATCCAGGACTAAAACTAGTGTTATTAAAATAGCTTTGAATTGGAATCGAAAATAAGAGAACAAAAATGATCCAAATCGAAATATTGTACGCATTTTCACTTACATTTGTTATATTTTTATTGGTTACGTTGACATTATATTTCGTCTGTGGTAAATATCCAGAAGCTGTGACTGTTACCTTATATAAACCCGGTAATAATAAACGCCAGTAAGCTCCAGAAAGAACACTACGAACAGGATGAAGGATACCTTCGATTTGAATCAGAGCTCCGGATATTGCCGTTCGTGCGTGTGAATCACGAATAAAACCTTTAATACCAAGATGACTCTAAATAATCAATATAGATGATATTTCCGTTGTTTTCGTATTTATAAATTAGTTACCATTTCCATATAATTGAGAAGTGCTTCTCTATTATTATCCCATTCTTTTTCCAAGCCTCCATTTTGAGATGATAGATACTTACAACAGCTTAATTCAATTGTTATTTCAAATGCATTACTGTGTATGTAATTAAAATCTTGCATACCACCTGTTACATCATACCATTTAGCACCATTTGTTATTCCCTCAGGAAAATTTTCACCGCATGCTTGACCTAATAGAATAATTACAATTTTTTTCTCTACTATTGAACATTTATCGTACCTTTAGGCATTGTTAAATGTTTACTAGCATAAGCAAGTGCTAGGAAACGAAATAATGAATCATCCGGAGATTCGCCGTACGTATTAAATCTATGCTCCATTGTTTCATCGTAAGGATACGACGCTACTAAAGCACCGCCATGTAAATTTGCACTTAAAACGAAATTTTCTTTTAATATCCATTTCATAACAGCAACTGTCTCTCGTTGTCGTCCATAAAAGAGATCACCAATAGTACCATCAGGCTTTCTTTTTAATGGTTGATACTGTGATGGAAAATCTCGATTGAGATCAACGTCTAATAGATTTCCTCGACCGAATAAACCAAATGTGTTGCATGAACCTTCAGTAGATTTTTCAAAACCATCCTAAAATTATTCGAAAACTGAATTTTGAACAAAAAACAGATTCTTTTTATTTATTTATACCGGATTCATAGTTGGCATGATATAGATGTCTGTCGTTGATAAAAGACGATTAACACGTGGATCAGACTTTGAATTAAGTAGCAGATAATATATGAGCCCAATCATCATTTCACGCCCAACTGTTTCATCACCATGCATATTTGCAATCCATTTAAATTTGGGCCTTAACAGTTGAACTTCATCGTGTTCTTCGTCATCTTTGCTATTCAGCGGTGAAGTAAGACGCATAACAAATAGTTCTTTGCCTGTATTACTTTCACCGATACTAAACAGTTGCGCTATTTTACTGTAATTACCAGACCACTGAGTTAAAAGCTCCTTTAATTGTGCATGTGAATGGTAACGACTAAGTAACTGATAGACGGCTGTATCTTTTTCGACTTGTAATGGTGAACGTTGACATAGCACGCATGATAAACATAACAACAGGAATAAATGCCGATAAACAATATTTATATACATAATAGTCTAGAAAAAAAGAGTACATATATATTTATATATATATATATATGCGTATGAAAACAAACACAAAAATAAATCCAAATGATTTCATATTTCTTAGCTAATTTAGCACAGGATATTTAACAATACAAAAATAAAGGGACTAACATACGATGTCATATTCATACCATGCAATTGAGAAAAAAGAAATCATCTCCGAGTATATTTTTCTATTTCAAAAAAAAAATCATTTTTTCCTCTAGAGATCATAACAATGGAACAAGTTTTTTTTCTAGATTAATACACAAGAAACAAATAAGCACATACACAGAACAAAATTGACCTAATACACATAAATGAGGAAGAATATACAAAAGTGTTTCTTCTTCTTCTTCTTCTTGGTTTTTTCTTCTAAGCAAAACATATTTATCACAAAAAGCAGAGAACACCGGTGGATCCCTGAGACAAGAAAACAAAAAGAGAAAAAGCTTAAATTTTCATTCATGAAGTCTTTGCCAACGTGCTTGAAGATCTCTATCGTCTGTTGTGGGTAATGTTGTATTACTCATCGCTGATCGTGGCGTATTTGATATGGATCGCGAACGTAAATCTTGCGCTGAATAGAGTCTTACAGCAGGTTGATCATGAGTTAGAATCGATGTTGGTGAATCAAAAGGCGACGAATGATGATCATCGAATAGTAAATGTCTTTTTGGTGTCGGTGGTGAATGAAGAACGCGAGGTGTTGAGGAGATTTGCTTTGAAATCATTGGCGTTCCTGGTGTTATTGCTGATGACGATGAAAACGGTTTTCGATTTGCCAGTCCATAAACAATCAATGCTAATGATGCACATAGTAAAAGACTTGCTACTATACGTCCAATGGGGTTATCAATGAATCGTTTTTGTATTCTGATATTTACACGTTGAGTTTGGCCTGTTAGAGTATTTTTAACATCAATATAAATTTGTTCTTGATTATTTGTGTTTGCGCCATGACGTAATTCAATATTGTATAGAAATGGATCAGTGGAATTTTTTGTTATTCGCACTACTGACGGATCTGATGATTTTAATTGCATGTATTTTTCATTGGTTAATAATGTTGATATATGAATTGAATTGTAAGGATGTTCTTCAGAAAGATATATCGATGATGCTGACGATAATTTAAATACCGGTTGATATGGAATGATTAGTTGGTTGGAAGTTGTTTGATACGGTGTTTGAACCAGCAAACGTAATGAATCATCAAATGTACTCGAATCGTGAGATGTTTTGCGAGTTATTCGACACGCCCAACTCATTAGATCAAGATCGAATATAGCTTCTGTTTTGAAAAAGGACGCAGCTTTGAGATTATTTGTTTTGCTTTTAACAAAATCGAGATGACATTCAAATAATGGACGAAGTGTACGAATCGATTGAGCGTGTTCAATTCCTTCACGTTGACACGAACCATGAAGATTTGTTGTCGAATCAGTGCCGAATATGAGCGGATACGAAGATGGTTTACCTAAATTTTGGTGAAAATTACATGAATATTCTAAGAAGGTAAGCGAACTGAAACAAGGGAGAAAAGCGGATTTTTGGGATTTTCAAAATCCCATAAATTGAAAAGCATTTTCCCCTCTGTGAATGGCGTAGTTTCGACCTGAAATTCTTCGCATGTATAGGTTTCATGGTCCATAAAAGATCCTAAAAGCTTCAACTCGAACAAATGTTTCCTTCTTAAAATATTGAATTTTTAAAAAAGCTGGATTTTCTGACCGTGCCGTGAAATGAGTATTTCTTGCGCAATTCTAAGAATCATGAAACTTACATATGGGAAAAAATTCAGATGGAAATTCCATCATTCACGTTTTGGATTTTCAAAATCCCAAATCCGCCTTTTCCCCCCTTGAACTGAAATCTATCGAGAATGATAATTATCATATTTATTTACCTTCTTCGCCATCGTATAAAAAGTCGTTTGCTCCTTTGTATAATTTAATTTCATTTGGTGTTTGCACATTAAATCGTTCGCTTGTAATTGTTTGTCCGTCGATTTTTAAATGTAAATGTCGTTCACCGTCCATAATCATTTGTCCAATACCATATGTCGAATCAACATACATGCCATCATCACCACTCCATCGATCTTTATTTTTTTCGTCATTATTTATATTTGTTTCAAAACAAACAATATCACCAATATAATACAATTGTTTTAGAGTCGATATCGACGATTTTGGCAAGAGAAAACCGTTGTTGGCTTGTACCGGTAGATAAGCTCGTAAATATTTCAAACCTCCATCGAAGACAAGAATGTTCGAACCATTTTTTAATGGAATTATTTCATACATTTGACTGTTGTTGAAGTTCGCGGCGATCATATCACCACGATAAGAAAATGTACGAATCGATATCGACGTTGCATCGAACCTATAATAAATATGGAATAACTCGTTTTCAACATATGTGTCATATTCTTATAACGATTGAAAAAGAGCGAAATCTTACCGTCTGCCTAATTCATCATGATAAGAGACACTTAATGGAAGTTTATAATCGACTGGTATCGATGAAAATAAAGATGAAGTTTCTTGTGATAAATAACTTTGTAGAAGAATATAATGAATTGGTTTAATTTGAACAAGATAAGTTCCGACAATAGATTTTTTTTCTTGTTTTGTTCCACGGTATTTCATATATAGAATTGCTTCACCATCGGCACTTTGGTCACTATGAAGAATTTTCGTATCTGCATCGAGATGAATATTCTTTGATGACGACAGAAGTTCGAGTGTTATATCATTGGGAATATGAAATAAATTCAAACGAGAATTGGGTCCAAGTAAAATTGTACGTGTTTCACCGAAATCATTTAGATAAAATGGTTCAAGAATGTTTAATTCAATTGAATTTGATAATTCAGTAGAAGATTGTATTAATAATTTATTTAAATTTTTCGAATTTGTCAATAAACGAACATCAATAGTAATGCGACCAGTTCTTAATGTCTCAATATTTGTGACAAACGTACGCGTGTACGATGAAATATTACCAATAACCGGGCGAAATTGTGCAAGATGAGTATTCGATAAAGACCATGTGAATACGAGCGAATGAAGAAATACATCAGTTATAACAATTAGATTTTTCTCGTGATCATACGGAAGAACAGTTACGGGAACGAATTTATTTGGTAGGACTTCCGTTGTTGGGATATGAAGACGAATAGAATGTATTTGAACAACATGAATCACGCAGGTGTCTTCGCCGTAGACCACAGACTGAAAAAAAATAAATACGAAAATAAAATGTCTATTTCAAGCTAAATTTCAAGACTATTTTTGTAGAACTTCCGATTTATTGGTTGAGCGCTTAGAGAGATGCAAAATTAAGTTTGTATAGAGAAAATTGAAATAGCTCATGAATTTTTACGCAAAATAAACCTCTGTTCTAGATCAATCCTGGAAGAATTAGTTCGAACGCTGTAGATCTGATTCTTACTTGTCCTAAAAGTGGATCGAATCCAATTGATTTTGCTCGAGCAATGGCATGACCAATGGTTTTTGTTTTAAAGATATTATTTATTTCCAAGTCGAGAACATCTGTATTATTTGTTGACCATTCAATAGTTGTTCCTGCCATTTGAGAACCACCTTTAATCATGAGTTGTACCATTGATAATGGTAAAACGCTTACTTCTTTTGGTTGAATTTGTAATTTTTCATAAACTTCAAATTCAATTAGAGTACTTTTAACATTTAGTGCATAGAATTTAACATGGGTTCGTCCAATATCTAACGTATGAACTCGATAGGCAAGTGTTTGATGATCTAAATTTGATTTTGGTTCATATTCAATTGATAGAATATCCGGCTTTTGACTTTGTTCAATCATAATATTAATCAAATGATAGATATTTGTTAGATTAAATAAATTTCCATCGGAGTCCATTGCTTGAATATAAATCAATGATGTTGTATTTAATTCTAATCGACTACGACCCGAAATTTTCAATCGGTCAATCTCAGCTATAATAATTTCCATGGATTTTGTCGATGACGGTAAACATTGATCAACAATCTTTAAATTCGTACGTCCAAAGTTCAATGGTTTAATAAAGACTAATCGTGAATTAACATCATTGGTTATCAATTCAATTAATGGATTAGTTGATAGTCCATTTGTTTCAAATGTAAAGTAGCCCGAACCTCCATAAATATCTAAGGGCGACAAAGATTCATTGATGTAAATCAATTTAATTGGACTTGGTATTTGAATATTTGTTATAAATTCAATTTCAAGTTGTTGCTCAATTTTATCGACTGAACAATGAAGTAAAATCTTGCCCGGTTGAGATTTTGGTATGACTTCCAATTGATTCTTGTTCATGCGAAGATCAGCTAAATGGCCATTGGATTTGATGGAACAATCAGTTTTTAATGATGAAAAATTTGTAAAGGGAATTTGATGCTCATTATAAGCGATGATGTTTATCAATAAAATTTGATTGAAATATGTAATCACATAATCACGATTCGATAGCGGACATTGTGTATGAAGTATAGGTTGAAGTGAGAGAGAATAGATTGTTGTTTGACATGTTACATCGATTGAAATGGTTGATTTTACGGGACAAAGATTTTGTTTTGTTGGAGAATTTTGTTTTGATACATCGAATTGAATATGTTCGATGGGTTTAACACATTTTACACGTAACAGATTTGAGTTCGATGGATCCTGCTTGAATTTAATGTGATTGTCCAATGGAAATATATCGTATTTTAATGACTCATGATCATGAAAATTCAATGGACCATTGGATAATTCTAATGTATATTGAGAATTTGTAGTTAATAATAAACTATTGAGGTTGACGTTTAATTTTTCATAGGCACTTAAACTGATTGTTTGTTGAAGATTTGAGTTTTTAAGAATAACACGAACATTTGTTAGGCCAGTTTTTATTGGTTTGAATACGAGCAATGCACAAGACTCGTTAACATGATCGTGCGATGGAATAATACCTTGATATTGAAATATATTATTATCAATAAGTATATCGAAATCAAGATGAGAACAACATGTGAACGGTTGTTTTTTATAATATAATTGAATAGGTAAATAGAGTAGAGAATTAAGATCTGTTTCAACTGGACATGCAAATAAACTAAATTCAGTCGGTTGAACAACTTGTACGGAGACAGATGCATTTAATTCAGGTGACTTTTTATCGAAGATATCGACTGTCGTAGAATTTAATGAAGTTTGTTCCATGAGATCACCCGTTGAAGATACAGTAACTAAATAAATAAATAAAGAATTGAATAGATTCGAAAACAAAAGTTCGCTTAGGGAATACGGTGGACCCAGTCCCCGACTAAACTCCGTAGTAAAATCGTTCATAGACGTATTCTACTTTGTAAGTCTATCTCATCGAATATTGAAAATCAATATGAACTTACCAACACTTGTATCTCTTGACGTAAAAGTGTAATCTCCACTTCCACCTAATACTTTAATTGGACAATAGGGTGTTTTCACATCTTTGACTCCTGTTCTTTCAGGTAAGAGAACTCGTTTGGGTTGTGCAACTAATGGTAAATAAACTTCAAACCATTGTTTTGTTGAAGCTGTAACTAATGTCTCGATAAGATCATGAACTTTCATTCCATTAAGACGAAATTCTAATTCAAATCTTCCTGGACAATTTGGTCGAAGTACGTATTGTGTACCATTTTGATACAGAGATTTTAAACTTAAACAAGTTTTATGAGATTCATTTGGAATCGAAGCCGATAAATCTAAATTATCTGTTGGATAAATTTTTCTTCCATTAACATCAAACATTTCGACAGTAACAAGATAATAGGCTCCGACTTGAAATATCCATGGTCGTGTTGAATTAGTTATAGCTGATAAATAGCCAATATTAACAATACGTATCATTAGAGATGTTGGCTCATATGTATCATTATCGATTGCTTTCATATTTCGATCGATTAATTCAACACGTGATTGTTCATCAGCATGATCGGTTGCCGTAAATAGAAGTGTTTGGTCATTCAAATGGCCAGCATCATCATTAACTAGTTTAACTTCGTAGAGCATTCGTGTTGATGGTAAATCTGTTATATCTGTTGATTCTTGTCTTTTGATTTGAAAAAGACGAAATGCTAAACGTGAATACGGGAGTAAATAAACATCAGTGGATGGATGAAATTGAACATTCGCTGATACAGACAATCGAACAGATCGTGTTCGAATACCATGATAGAGATCATTATCGATTAATTCCGCTTGAACAAATGCTGAACCAGTACGAAGACCTTCGAGTAGAATTTCATAGGATAATGAACCATGCGATTCAAGATTTCGAACTGTTTCACTCATTTCATAAGATGAATCAGTTAGACGAAGAATACGTATGACTTTTGTTGCATCGAGTGTTCCAGTTGCTGGTTTTTTTACGCCTGAAAAACAAGTATGAATTCAAATATTCTACTAACAAACGGAGATGCTGTTTTTTCCTCACAAGCTAAGCACATCGAAAAACAACTATTATAATCGTAACCTACTTTGTTCGTCAACAATAGCAGCATTCAATAATTTCCATTCATAAGGAAAATGTTCAATCGAGGAAAATGTTGATCCATGTTGATCATGAGCACGTAATTTAAATAATTCAGGAGCATCTTCTAAATACAATCGTGTTGTTGTATAAACAATTTCGATTGTTTGAATTTTATCGATAATAACATCGCATCGAACTGATTGTCCAGTTAGAATATCTCGAGCATAAACCGTTGCACTTGCACGTAATGAGTGTTTTGTATGAGCTATCACATTAGCATGTAGGGAACAATTTTCACCATTTTTTATTGAAAATTCTCCTACGGGATCAATACGAACGAGATCCGGGCGTGATGATGACCATTGAAAACAGCCATCGGTTGCTTCTAACGTAAAATTTGTTTCAATACGCGGATGAAATGGTAATAGAATCTTTGGTTGACTCATACGAATCGCAGCTAAGCTTAAATGAATTAATAGCAGGAAGGAGACTAGATATCGAAACCATTCCATCTTTGAATGAGCTGAAATGTACAATCAAATAATTGATGACTTTCAAGTTATTTGAAAAAAAAAACTACCAACACACGAAAGAAAGAGCACCGAAGGTGAAATATCGCATTGTCCAATTGAAATGTTCATATGACTACTAGCGACAATTTAGAAAATATTTCGAAGAAAACTCTCAAGTTATATTCCCTGTAATTCAAAATGAATATATGAAAGAAAAAATACGAAATTCAAAAAGATTTGAAGATTTCATTCAGAACGGCCGGTGAAAATAAAAGTTTGCACGAATAGGAAAACTATGACTCACATTCGAATAGTAAAAGAAACTATTTTCTCCTCTAAGAGTGAAACCGAATTCAATAAGTGTTATATGATTTCGGATTATCTATAATTTAATTCATAACAAAAATACATCTTTGGAATTGTTGTTTATAGAAAATTCTCTTTCACATTTTCATACTATATAAAATCATGTCTAGTAAACCACATTCACAGGTAAAAAACATCCAATTTTGTTTTTAAACGTTTATCCGTATAGAATCAACAAGCTAAAAGTAACCGCCAATTGAAATGTTCGAGATGTACTCAAAGTTTTTCTCATCAAAAAGCTTATTATGAACATCTACGCAGTCATACCATAGTGAGTTATCCATAGGTCATCATCACGCTATACAGCTATTCTTTATAATGTAGGTTCGAAAGACAAGTGTAGAGAATCCAACGCAAAATGAGACTGCTCGATATATTGCAGAACGCCGAAAGTATGATCGTATTCTATAAAAAAAAAATCATCCGCTGAATATTCATTGACTATAATCAAAATAGGAATTATCCAACAGCAGACAACATTACGAAAAAATTGAAATCTGATGAAGAACGACAAGAACGTGGTGATGTATTAGAAACTCGTCAATTTGGGTTAGTCTTTATGCACAATATTCCTTTATTTGATTTTCTATCATACAAGAGCTTTTGATAGCTGACAGAAAAATCGCTCCCACTGAAACAATAATACTATTTATTTTCTGTTGTTCTAACAAAATGCCACTTATGAATGCTAAATCTCGTTTTTCTTAAGACCGAAATCAATTAAAGAAATCCTACTGTCATTTCGACCTTTAGCATCACTGAAAGACATCAGTTATCTATTGACACGCTTTGTAAAATCATGTCATCATTATTTGATCGGAATTGTGAAACGCATTTACCAGATGTCACAAATTTAGATCCCATCTGTCCTGAGTAGATTACGTACAAATGCTTTTTCCAGAGCTGATTTTAATTGAAACACAGCCTTGAAGAAAAAAACAACGAATATTTTATAATAAAACTTCGGCACTGTTATTTATTTCATTGCTTAGACGAATCAAAGAACATAAAACAAATAAAAGCAACGAAGTACGTCTGAAAATTTTCTATCGCCAAACTTACTGTATTTTCTACAGATTGAATCAGCACTGCCTATCATGACAAAAACAGTAACTAATAATAAAAATACCGGAGCAACATTATTGGAACGAGTAAATATAGCACTCAATTGATCTCTTCTGTAGTTTTGTTTTCTGATAGCTTTTAGCAACTGATATTCGTCGTGAACGTAATATGGTACTACAATCGATTCGTCATATTATTAATAATAATTTCTATGGCCTAGATGAAAATTGACTTTTAATTTACATATGATTTTGTTCGTGTTTTTTTTTCTCGCATATGTCAGATAATATTTTGTTTCGTGTTGAGTTAATCCATAAAAATATCTAACGATGCAAACACTGGAAAAAATTTTTATCTACATTTCCTAATTCGAAAACGATCGTTTAAAAGTCTAATTTAATAAAAAAGCGACCAAGTAAAATTGGTGATTCATGTACACATGAAAAATCTTGTTATCTATTTCGTCATGAAATACAATGTTAACAGCCTTTTATTCTAACGAGTTGACGTCTATTTCAATTTTTGCGAACAATTACAATCATCACAATGTGAGTCACACATGGTTCATCAGTTAGAGTTAGAATGAGAAGGAAAAAGATTATGTAATAATGTGCATTGTGCCATAATTGAACCATCAAATGAAGAATTGTGAATATGTAAAAGTAAAAAAAAAAAGAAATCATTATCACATTAACTTAACATCTGGTCGTTTCTTTTTTCGTGGGGGGGGGGGGGTAAAAAAATTACCCC